CATCAAACCACAAATTCGGATTTGTACACTTTTCTGTGTATGGTGTCATCAAGAAAAAGTTTAAAAGACATTCTCTGTATGAAAGCTGAGGTTTTATTCTATTTTTGGCAGTTCCAACGGTCTCACCTTAGGGGTAAAATCTTCACCTACAAACTTCTCATAAAAATATGAGGGATCTTCTAATTTATTAGGCCTGAAAAACCTTAACTGCTAAGCATCCCTGACCCAGAGAGCGTAAGACCATAATAAAATTAAAACGTGCTACATGGCACATGCCTCTGAAAAGTAACAGACTTGAATCCTATGTTGCTGTTGTTGTTAGGTGGCACCAAGTCGATTACAACTCATAGTGACCTCTGCACAACAGAATGAAACATTGCCAAGACCTACGCATCCTCACAATTGTTATGTTTAAGCCCATTGCTGCTGCCACTGTGTCAAAGAAAATCCCACAGAGCAGTTCTACTGTGTACACATGGAATTGCCATTTATGGCAACTAACAGCAATAACACACCTAAATTATGATCCCACTTAAACAAAGAAGTACAAAGAGAACCACCTGATCCGGTCAGACTCAAGAGTGGTAAAAATGCGAACCAGGCAGCACCCCTGTATTCCCTACTTTCTCCCAGAAAGCACCATGCTCAAATACTGCTCACTGAAGCCATGAAACTCTCATTCCAGCACTTTCCTTCCCCTGTCTCAGCCCAAGTCTAAAGTATATTTGTCCATCACTATAGCAGAGGCAACCATTACTCAGCCTTTACTGTGGCTGGATTACATTTACCTTTCAACCTGGAGACAGTAAGGGAGAATGGCATGTTTTCTCACTCATTCACTCAGGAAATATGCTGACTCTGTTTAGGAGTCTGAATTTTTTTTTTTTTTTTTTCACCTTTGTTTTGTGAATTGAGTACTTTGTTTCATTTCAGTTACTGCAATCCCCTCAACTTAAGATAACTCATCTTACTTCCTCCCTGTGATTCTTGTGTCTATTCCACCATCTTTCCCAACGCTTCTGAAGTCTGCCCTTTTGATCTTGAACACTTGACCATTCCCTGGTGTGCATACCTCACTATTGTTGTCCTCCCTATATACCTACCTACTACTTGGCTGAAAACTGAGCCACAAGGGTGTGTTCAGTTCCAGACCTAAAGGGTGACCAAGGACCACAGTTTCAGGTTCCTCCAGTCTCTTTCTGACCAGTAAACGTGATCGTTTTTTATTTTTTTAGTTTTGTTCCACAATTTTTGGGGAGTCTGATTTCATAAGGTAAAAACAGGAAGATGCATCCGACCAAGAGAACACTGCTTTTCAAACAAAACATAGTTTACCAAACTTAGATTTAAAAGATAGCCAATTCTTCACTTGCCATCATCACTTTCTCTGAGACCTAGAGAACCACCACAATCTTCCAGGACTCCCAACATGGGACCAGTGCATCAGTAGCAATACTTTCCTTCAGTTTGGGCATTAAATGCTCAAACTCACTTCTAACCTTCTAAGCTTCCCCTGAACCAACTCAAGTCTATCTCAAATAACTCAAATTAAATACAGATCAACGGACACCACCAAATATGAGAGAAAGAAAACGGACCTTAAAAGAGATCTTGATGGTAACTGACAGAGTTAATATGCCACTGAGACTTACTTATGATACCTGTCTATGAAAAGAAATCAATTAAAGGTAAACAGGAACTTCTGGACAGCTCCGAATTTTCTCTTCCTTGAGACTTCATTAGGAAATACTGATACATAATTATGGTTCATTCATGAATCTATACATCCAATAATCTTTTGCTGGATGTAAGGTGCTATGCTAGCCCCATGGAATATAAACAGTAACATTCTTACATGGACCCCATATCCTCCTCCCTCACAAGTTGAGCTCCTACTGAGTGTGTCTATACTAATTTTAGTTTTTATTTTAAATGTCAGCATTTTTAAAGGGTAACTAACAAATTAGTTTTTGATAAAGTCAAAAAAGGAAACAGAGGTAGGTAGTGAAAAATGCCTCTGGCTGGACAAGGAAAACATGAAGCAGTGTTTGGGAAAATCGACTTACCTCTGCATCATCGCCAAAGAATCTATACTTGTACCCACATTCCACACACAAAACTGCATCCTTATGCTGCTGCTTCATTTCCATGTACTGTAATTCTAATGGAGTGTAGATGCTTTTGGCCCGTTTGTTAGATGTTTTAGGATCAGAAGTTAGTGTTCTGCCCTGGTAACAAAAAAGAGTTGTAGACTTTAAAAAACAATTAGCCATAATAACAATAATAGTTTCCAGTGAGAAGGTCAATTTGACACAAAGTTAACACTTAGTGAATCTAGGTGAAAGGTTTATAGGAGCACTATAGTGTTCCGGCAAGTTTCCTGTACATCTGAAATACTTCAAAGTACAAGGCTAAAACCACGGTTTATGTGTCAGTTTGTTGTATGCAGTGGCCTGGGTGTTAGGATGATGCAGGAAGCTACGCCATCAGTATTTTTAGCATACCAGCAGGGTGATCCATGGGGACAGATTTCAGCAGAGTTTCCAGACTAAGGCAGAGTAGAAGGATGGAACAAGTAATATGTTTCTGAAGAGAACTGGTCAGTGGAAACCTTATGCATAACTGTGGAACACTGCCTGATATGTTGCCAAATGAGCCATTCAGGTTGGAAGACAATCAAAGCATTGCTGGGGAAGAGCTGCCACCTCAAAGCAGAGCTAAACTTAATGGAGTGGATAAAAGAAAGTTTTTAGGATCTTCATTTACTGATGTGGCAGGACTTAAAATTAGGAAAAACAGCTGTACATATCCATTAGTACTGAACCATGGAATGTATAAAG